ACCCGTGTGGCAGTGCAGTGTGAGTCCCCTCGGGGCTTGGTGACTGACCATGGCTGGCCTGGTTCCCAGCCCCCACTTCCCTACTGCGACGACCAGGGAGAGTCTTCAAACTTCACGCCATGAGGTTCTGCGGGTCGTGTGGGCAGAATCTCTACCGAATCAGCCCAGGAGCCAAGGAAACTGAGCCAATGGGCTCATTTACCTTGGAAAATTAGTGGAAAAGGCTCCGGTGAGGTAGGGACGGGACAGGCACGGAGTCCCCCAAGTGCTGACAGGGCCCAGGGCGCCCGGATGTCTGCGGGCCCAGCCCCGCCTCCGCACAAACCCCGCCTCACCCTCCTCTCGCTATCAGTTCTGTGCTGCGGATCCTCTTCTTAACAAAATCCTAATACGTTGCCAGCACAACATCTGCCTTATAGAGCATACAGGCTGCCTTGATGAGGGCTGCGGAAGCCAGGCAGCAAGTGGCTCACACCGATAATCCTAGCTACTCAGGAGGCTAAGAGCTGAAGATCACAGTTCAAAGCCAGTCCGAGCAGGAAAGTCCATGAAACTCATCTCCAGTTAACTACTAAAAAGCTGGAAGTGAAATTATGGCTCACGTGGTAGAACACCAGACGTTAGCAATAAATAAATAAACAGCTAAACGATAGCATCCCAGGCCCTGAGTTCAAGCCCTAGCACTGGCACAAATAAGAGAGGGGCGACGGGAAGCAATCAAGGAAGCCCACTGGCACAACAGGCTCTCTTGTGTCACGGGCAATGATACTGTTCTGAGTGGTGAGTCCATCAACCTGGCTACGTGAGTGGATTCCTTGGGGGAGCGTAATTACTGTATCAGAAGACGGTGACATTTTCCTTGGGGTGTGTCTTTTCCTCCAGAGAATGGCTCCTTTCACAATTATGTTCTCTACCAGGAATCTATTATATGATCTGGTTTTTCCTCCAAAGACATCATTAATCATATGGTGAAGATGTAACTCCAATCAAGGTTAAAGCATCCGTCTCGTATCTCCTTAAAACTTCTACTCTGAGCACCTCATCTCCTTTCTTTTAAGGACAGTGAAGTTGTTTTTTGTCTGCTTTCTTAAGATCATTACATAGGTGTTCATAATGGGATCTTCTCAGGAAGCCCCAGCACAGTGTCAAGATCACACAGTGTGTTCTGGGAGAAACTGCGGAAAGCCTTCCGGGGTAGGCCAGCGCCTTCATAATGGCAAGTGGTGGCTGGGTCTTGGCGTTGACTTTGTCCTTGAGCAAATCTTCGGCTCCTGGATTCCTTTTCCCTTCACCAAAATCTGAAGCGGTTGGACCATGTGCTCTGAAAACCCCTTCCCTCCCTCGCTGACTCCATGCTCCCTTCCGGCAGGGTGGCAGCGTCCAGCCCCGGTGGCGGTCACAGTGAGCGCCACACCTCAAGCTGAAAACAACGTGATACAACGAAACACATCAGGCATGAGAGGAACCGCTCCTGCGCTGAAGGTCACCTTGGAACCACATAGATGTGAAGCCGAACTAAAATCATCACCGTGAGCAAAAACAAACCCAGGAGGCGCTGGGATTTGGCCTCTGGCTCAGCAAGTCCCTGCCCAGCGGTGCAAGGCCGGGGGTGGCGGCAGAGGGCCTGAAACCGTCACCAGCCACGGAGAGAACAAAAACAGGAAAAGGAAGGGACCATGTGGGGGTGGCAAAGGAAAGAGACTCTGTGGACAAGCATGAGTAGAGGCCGAGGTGGGGGCCCGAGACCCGTGACTGGGTCCAGGCCTAATGTATTCTTTATTTCTCATTCGGGAAATGGGTCTGCAGCTTCAGAGTCAACAGGATGCAGCACTGGGCACACGGCTGATGACAGAGCCGCGAGCGTCGGGAAGGGCTCTGTAGGAGACCCCTTCAGCAGGGGAACTCTAGGCTTCCCCCGGCTGTGGCCAACTAAAACAGTGCCTCAGGCCCTGGAGCTCGCAGGCGAGAGCCCTGCTTCCGCCAGCTGCTTGTGCCAGGCAGTCCCATGGGGCTGTGTGCTAAGCAAAGCCTGGCCACCACATTAGGCCACACAGAGGTAGACTTGCTGCTCTTTTCCCCAGCCTGCCTCTCCCAAGGCCAGGAGCCTGAGCAGGCCCCTGGCCTCAGTTCCTTTCTACTCACTGAGAGGAAGGTGACAATTATTTCCAACCTTACATTCATGCTGGAGTGGTAAGCCATGTTGATTCTGAACTATAGGACCGAGGAACAAAGGGTACATGGGAGGACCCGGAAAGAGAAGGCACAGGAGGAAGCTTCTGTGGTGGAGGAAGAAGAGAACTGGGGAAGAAGTCAGGCAGCAAATCACGCCCCGCTGGCTGAACAGCTAACAACTGAGACACGCCAGGCTGAGCATCTCTGTCATCCTCTACCATCTCTGAGTCACAAGCCAGTCCCGCAGGGCCGTTTCCCGTTCCTCTCCCGCCTGAGAGGTTACTACAGGGCAAGTGTCTACTTCATGGCTACCTGGCCAAGCGTCCATGAAGACTGGTGAGAATGAACACTTGTGGCCCTGTCTCACTACGAAGCCATTGCCTGGGCTGGGGATGTAGCTCAGTGGTGGAGGCTGGCCTACGCTGTTCTGAGGCCCTGGGTTTCATCTCCAACACTAAAAACAAAAGCAAAGCAGTCATCTCCTAATGGCTGAGTTTGGTGGTGAAGGTGGCCCATTTAACACTTAGAGAACCACAGTGGACATGAGGTGATGCTTCCTGCTTGCCAACACTGGCAGAGCCCCTCCTGTGCCAGGCTTCACCTGTAGATGCGCCCAGGTTTTCAAGCACGGCAGCCATGTTCCTCCTAGAGGCCCGCGTGACAGCTCTAAGGCCACACATGGCAGAAGGACACGCATCACTCTCTGCCTCTCGCAGTTTGCTATAATTTGCCTACATAAACCCCACTTGATACCTTTTTCTGTAAAAATCTTCTTTCCAGTTGAGAAGGAAAAGGTTGTGTCCTTATGTTGAAATTCCAACAGGGTTCAGAGAATGGGCCCAAACCTGAGCCTGGTGCAGAATTTCTTTCTTAACAAAACAGGTTGGCATGCTCTGAAAACCCAAGTATCAGATAACAGGGCTACACAATCAGCCCTTGAGAGTGGCAGATCAGTTCCTGCTTGTGCAAACACACAGGCAGAATCATCCAACAAGCCCTGGGCCCCCAGGTCCCAGGAATCAGTCTATCAAGGTGACAAAAGTATGTTTACAACCAATACCTGACTACTTAGCCAACAATCTCAGAGGCTTTGCTTGCTTCAGGAAGAGGAAAAAAAAGTAAGAAGAGAAGAGATAAAAATGAAAAGAGTCTTCAATGGTTTTCTTCAACAAAAGAAAGAAGAGTCAAGTCTGGATTTAAGTTGAGAGACCTAAAACAAAAATGACAGTCTTCCAGTGGCACTTGTCACTTTGGCTGTC